CGTCTCACTCACATGCTTGGCCTGCACTCTGGGTAGAATGAGGATCCAGTGGGCCCCAGGTGGTCTCACTCCCACGCTGGGCCTGGGCTTTGGGTCTATTCAGGATCTGGCGGCCCTGGGTCTTCTCACCGACTCTTTTTTTTTTTTTTTGTTCTTAAGCACACCTCGTGTAACCCCCAGCACAAGTTAGGCTGCTCATATTTTGTGGTTTCAGATGCTTCATGCTAATCTGAGTCTCAGTACAGTTCAAGTCTATCTCACTTAATCCCTATGCCGACCGCCACACTTTGTGTAGACAAACTACAAGTGACACTACTGAGACCTGTGTAGAGTGGTGCCGCTCACACAGGAGTGACACCAGCTGCCAAGCAGTTTTCACCTGACATAATTGTTCTTACTGATTTTCTACGTTAGTATTGATGTTTCTCTGTAAAAGCTGTATTGTGTTACAAAGGAAGATTTTACTTTGTTCTGTTTTTCTTTGGAATTCTTTTCATTTTTATGGTTTTCTTTTCTTTTTTCTTTTTCCTTTTTTGGCGGAACTGGAGATTGAACTCAGGCTATTCTACTGAGCTATCTCCCTGGCCCTTGTTTTCATTTTTAGGAAAGTTTTAGTATCTTGGACTCTGGTATCTATCGTATCATCAGTAGTAGAAGAGGCAGTCAGTCCGATGAAGATTCTTGCTCCCTCCACAGCCAAACTTTCTCAGAAGACGAGAGACTTAAAGAATTTACCTCACATCCAGAAGAGGACCAGCCAGACCAGGACTGTGGCTCACAGGGCAGTGAAGGTGGTGAGTCTGTCTCTTGTTGGTTGCTGATGATGAGCAGTTGTTTTCTGAGTTGTTCCTCCCAGGATAGCCTTAAACTTAGCATTTCTATAAGGTGTGAATAGTGTTTAGCATGTTGATAACTTTTCATCTAGGCCTATAGATCTGCTCACTACTAGAAGAGTGAGTTTATGTTGAGTTTGTTTTTGTTTGTTTGTTTGTTTATTTATTGTAATACTGAAGATTGAGTTCAGGGCTTTGTGCATGCTAGGCAAGAACTCTACTATTGAGCTACAGCCCTAGCCCTGTTTGTTTTATTTTTGAACTTCACGTTTGAGCTAATATTGATAGAGTACCTTTTTTTTTTGGTCTTTGAGACAGGGTCTCACTAAGCAGATCAGGCTGGCCTTGAGCTCACTTTGTAGCCCACGTTGGTCTCAAACTTGCAACAATCCTCCTGCCTCAGCCTCCTGAGTGCTGGGACTACAGGTGTGAGCCATTGTGCCCGGCTAGATCTTGGTCTTGGTCATGTATCTGATCTTGGTCATGTATCAAAATGTTTGAGAGAATAAGAAAATTTACTAATCAGAAGAGTAGTATCCTCACTAACCAAATTATTTTCCAACAGGAATGAAAAATTGCTCCTATTTTACAGGCCAGTACCTTTCCTTTACAATGTTCCAACTACTCTTATGACTGAAATGTTAAGAACAGAGCATTAGGGATTTTAAGGTTTTTTTTGACATATGGGGGCTCAGAATTAGTAAGAAATGGGGGCACCTGCCTAAGTACTTTCTATAGACCATCCTGTGCATCTTGTAAATCTGTGTTGTGCTCATTTGCATATGGGTCTGTGTGATTTTGGTTTGAATTCTTCATTTCCTTTGGTTATTCATTTGAGAATTCCTTTAATTAAAAAAAAAAAAACCTTCCATGTGATTAGATTTTGTTTTTTCCCCTCCCGATTCCATTCATTAGCCAATGTTTCTCATGTTCCAGTGACGTTTGAGACAGATAAGAATGAAACTTTTCTCCCCTTCGGCATTCCATTATCATTTCGTTCTCCATCTCCTCTTGTGTCTCTCCAGGCAGTCAAAGACAGGTAAACCAATTAGTCTTGTCAACTAGTTCCATTTCTGATTTTATATCAGTTGTCATAGCAGCTTGTAGTAAGAATGGAAAGACATTTTCAATGAAATAAAAAGTCTTGGGGCCAGGGAGATGGCTTGGTGGAATAAGTGCTTCCCTGGCAAGCGCAAGGGCCTGAGTTCAATCCCCGGTTTCGCCAAAAAAAAAAAAAAAAAAAAAAAGAAATAGAAAGTCTCTTAAGTTTTTTCCTATAACCTGTTATGTAAAGCTATTAATTTTTCATTTTCACTTTGTAAAATTTGGCTTTATTCTTTTTTGAGTAGCTGAGTATTTGAGTTATAGAAGTGGCTCTTCTTTCTCAGAAAGAGTAAAAATTTAATTTTTTTTTTTGTACTAGAAATTGAATTCAGGACCTCGTGCTTGTTAGGCAGGCTCTATGCCACTAAGATATATGCTCGGCCTTAAATCTATTTTTTTCTCAACCCTGAAAGGAGCATTTTCCATAAATTAAGTTGTTTATTGTTCCTTCCAAGGTTTGGGGGCAGAATGGAGAATTAACAAATTCTTCCTACCTATACCATAGGACTAGTAGTGGCATTTGAGCTTGAGAAGGCCTTGTGCAGCTACTTAGATTTTGCTCCTCTGGAAGGTTATATTGTGAATATTTATATTGTGAGTTGAATATTTATATGTTATGTTTCATGAGGAAATTCTTTGTTATTCTCTGACCGGGATGGGGCTGATGATCACATGACTTATGTTGCCTAAGCTGGTAGAAGCATCAGACACAGCTAGAGTTAAAGTATTTTTTTTTTTTTTAGACTTAGGGTTTTATTTATTTTTTTTAATATTTATTTATTTATTTATTTATTTTGTGTGTGTGTGGCCAGCTCAGCCCACCAGGGGGGCGGGGCTGGCTGGCATGTGGTGCTGGGGGATTGAACCGCTGTCCCTGTGCTTTGCTTAGCTTAACTTGTTCTAAGTAGGCGCTTTAGACCACTGAGCCATCTCACCAGCCCCTTAAGTATTTTTTTTAGTGCTGAATTATTGATTTTTTATAGCATATTAGTAAATGAAGTGAATCATATTTTAAGTTTTTTATGAGCCTTATGTGAAATATATAGATGATTAGAAATATTGCTATAAATAGTCTTAATTAAGTCCAAGCTGACTTCCTGGGACTAATAGAAACTTTAAAACCTAGTTTTTTATTCTTGGCAGTAATGAGATTTTCCCCCATGTCTTTTGGTATTTGATTTCCAGTGTTTCTAGCTTTGTGCGTAAGACTACTGAGAAGATCGGTACCCTTCACACAAGCCCTGAGCAGAAAGTGAGGCCTGAAGCCAGGGAGGATGATCAGGCTCACGAAGAGGAAGTGAGTTCAGTTATCTGCCCAGAGGAAGAAGAAACTGAGTAAGCCCTTCTATATGTACAAATCTGCAAATGCCAGAGGAACAGGCTGGTGCTGGAAGGAGGGCTGTGGGCTGCATCCTGTTGGCCACATGTATGGCCCCACCCATTGCAGATTATTGTGTAGCTTGTAAATACTGTGGATTCCACAAAGTTTTGAAAAATGACATCAACCCATAGCTAAACTGCTGAAATTGTGTTCTTATTTGGTATTCTTCCCTATTTCCCCTGCATAACCCTCTTCCTGTCTCCATAATCTTGCCAGATTTCCAGGATGGCAGAGTGTTAGATTTAGAGGAACTGCCCAAGGATATAGACTTTGTGCTAGCTCTGCTTCCAATGAGTGTGTAATGCTAGGTCACTAGAGCTCTTGGGATATGGTATTGTTAGGAGAGTCAATAAAGGGAATATCAGGAGGACAATGACAGGGCCCCTTGAGGCAACGGAGAATGTAGCACAAAATACAGCACCTGTTAGCTAGTAAGTGTGTAGACGTTTAAGAAAGTTCTGACCCCTGCTAACTGGTGTGAATATTGTTTTTATTTTTCACTTTTCTAGAGAGAAAAAAGAAGTAACTAGTCAACCCCCAGAAGAAGACAGGTTGCAAGAGCTCACAGTGGCAACAGCAGAAGCAATGTGAGTGTGGATGAGAGGATTATAGTGGATTGGGGTGGCCTGTGCAGATCGTCATAGTGGCCGGTGTCTGGGACAGGGATGGCTTCACTTACCATCAAAATCAAAGAATTAGTAACAAACTGGAAAATCGGTGTTTCCTATTTGATGGTCTTGCTAAGATAATTGTTATTTAAAGAGTTCAAAAGAAGCATTTTTGGGGGGCCGGGGAGATGGCTCAGTGGAATAAGCGCTTCCCTGGCAAGCGCAAGGGCCTGAGTTTAATCCCCAGTTGCGCAAAAAACCAAAAAAAAACCAAAAGAAGCATTTTTCCAAATGAGTATGTTTAATCAGTTAAGTTTGTTTAGCAAGAAATTATTTTAAAAAGTACACAAACTCTAAATTTCATCTTGCCTGTTTTGCACAGGACCAAGCTTCTGGACCCTTTGGTTCTGTTTGAACCCCAGTCTCTGAGAGTAGTTTTACAAGAGTGGCTTTCACACTTAGAAAGAACATTTGCCGCGATGGATTCTCCAGGTACTTCGGATACTGGCAACTCACCTGCGGAACTACCCCAGGACGTGCCATTGCCTGATGAGCTAGAAACAAGAATGTCATGTGAAAATAATGAAGGAGAAAAAAGGGACTCTTTAAGCAATGAAGAAGCCAGTGACCCAGTAGAATGTGAATCTGCGAGTAGTCCAGGGGAGCCTTCAGATGCCCTTTTCCAAGTGAGTCCTCCGTGCACCATATCAGCCAGTCTTCAGAAGGACCTGGCTGAACTGACCTCATTGTGCTTGGAGTTGGGTGTATTGAATCCTACTGCTGGAAACGCAGTTGGACATGCAGCCCACACTTCGCCACAGAGCCCTCCTGAAGTTCAGGCTTGTCAGTTCCTAAAGAAGTACTTCTTTCTCCTGGACTTGAAAAGAGCAAAGGAGAGTATCAAGCTTAGTTATCCCAGCAGCCCCTGTGTTTGGGAGACTTTTCTTGAAGGATTGAAAGGTAATAAACAAATTGCCTTATCACAGAAATAATTTTTTTTTTTTTTGGTGGTACCACGGATTGAACTTGGGACCTTGCACTTGCCAGGCAGACATTTATGCTGCTGAGCTGTCTTCCCGGCCTAGAAATTAATATAGAGAATAGAGTAACGTTGCAAGTTTTGGGTTTAAAAAATCATTTAAGGGCTGGGGAAATGGCTTAGTAGAATAAGTGCTTCCCTGGCAGGTGCAAGGGCCTGAGTTCAAGCCCCAGTTCTGGGGGAAAAAAAAATCATTTAAGTAGAAAAATCACTTATGGTCTGGTCAGCTGCCCATTCTGGTTTTCACTCATTCTTTTTTTTTTTTT